TTTTGTTGAACAATCCTATTTCTTTTAAAAACTGTTTTGTGTTGGATACCCATACAACAAATCCCTCCGAAAAAACGTCCAAGAGCCTTCCCAGGATGTCTTTCGGATATTTTGTGCTGTTTGGATAACATTCTAAATACTTCTTTTATGTCATTCTACATTATATATTTATTATATATTTATCTACATTATATATTTATTATATATTTAAGTATTTACTTACTGTTTATAGATTCCGTCGTCGGATTATTTCTTCTACGTAATGTCAACTAGGTATACCGATTTTACAGGTTATAGATACAAATTTAAATTTTTTCGGTTAGCTGCCCTGCACTACTTGCTCTACCTCCAGACCTAGGGCAGTCAGTTCACTGAACTCGCTGCACTAGTTCAGCCTGTACTGTTCGAAAGAACACATTTTCTTGCACTGTTTTGATCGAAAGATCAAACGCATTAGTACAAACTTCGTGAACTAGTGCAGCCAGTTCAGGTCGAAAGAACAAACCTATTGATTACCGCGTCTTGTGTGCAGGAGCCATAACTCTACTCTACTCGATTTATCGGACAGCATTGAGTTGTCATAAATCGTGAAAATACTAGATACTTGTGCCTATCATATTCTCGGCCCTAGTGAAACTAACTCGTACCAACTCGAATTATCGTAAACACCCATAGTCAAAGTATGGAGTAATCTTAATGCGTCACACAGTACTAAAGTTAAAAAAATATTTTTAAAACTTACAGATCATTAACATATGCTACGTTCGCAACTTTAACCCAGTTTATTAACAATTGTAGTCAGTAAGCTCTTGCATTTTTAATTGGAGTATAATTAGGGATCGTTTACAATGGAAATCGTAAAGTCAGAGGTTGTAAGAAAATTGGCCAATTACAGTCGATTATTCTTCTTCTATTGTAGACGGTTATTTAAACTTAAAAGAATATACCTATCAGATTGAAGAGCTCACTCGCTATGATTATTACTAAACTGTATTAAAGTTACCATGGTTACTTTCCAAGGATGCGTTTTAAAATCCTACTCGGCAGGGTAATATTCAGTTAACTAATCATGATAAAGAAATCTTAGTTCTCTTTGTTCTGATTGGTCAATTAATATTACTCATCGAGCAAAGTTTTGAATCGCAGCTGCTGTTGTCCTTAAACACTTTAGTTATATTAGGTTTGATCGAGTTGCTTGTACTATTCACACTTTTACACCTAATGCCCATTGCACACTAATACACCTCATACAATACAAATTTTCCAAAATACGTTCTGAAGACGCTTTTAGGATGGAGGGATGTCATCAGAATATTTTTAGGACGTCCTTTGAAGATGTGAACTTTCTGAAAATAGCTAATATCCAATAAGTTTATTCGCATTAATTGAACTTTTTACACTTTCACACTTAGTGCACATTAATTCTTTAGAGGTTCTAAAAATAGCGTCATGTTTTCTGTTCGTGTTACGAGTGTAATTGCAATTTTGATACACTTTTTACACTTGATCCCAAGAGTGAAAAGTGTATCAGAATTGCATTTACACTCGTAACACGAACA